TTCAAAAATCGGATATTAATTAAATTTTATTTATAAAATAATTAATTAAATATATTAAGGTTACAATTGTATACTATTTGGTCACAAATTATCGAATTAATTTGTCACAAATTATTTCACGATCATAAATAAAAAAATTTACAAGTCACAATTTATTATCGATCACAAATCAAAAAAATTATAGATCACAATTTATTTATCGATCAAAAATAATAAATTTTATAAGTCATGACTCAAATTTATGGATCACATATTATTTATTGATCACAAGTTATCGATCACATATCATTTGTTAGTCACGAAAAATCCAATTTATTAGTCACATTCTTAAATAATTGGTCACAAATTATTTATGATTACAAATTAAACAATTTATTGGTCACAATCAACCAAATAATTTGTGGCTATCACCACCATTTGTGACCATCACCTGACCACTCCACTCCACCGCACACAGCACTGCCGTCAAACACCACCATCGCTAAGCCATCCCACCCCACCACGCTACCAACACCATTACACATAGCATCGAAGCACCACCGCACACAGCCACCACACCGCACCGCACCGCACCCCACCCACAGCATCACAACCACACCCACACCATCGTCTCCAGGTGCCAAGTTCGTGAAATTAAGCAGCGGGGAGATTTGTAGCATCGACCACTTGTCCAACGCCACCTAGAGAGTAGAAATCTGCAGCTCTGGCAACCTGTGGTGTTGTAGCCGTAGGGGGGAGTGAGAAATTAGAGAAATAAAGTGAGAGATTAGGGAGAGAGAAAGTGATATAATTAATTTTGATGGATTATTAGTATTGCGTTTACTTAATGAATAATAAATAATTAATTATAATCTGAAATACGAAAGATGAAACTTAAGAATCTTAGTTACGAAGTCGTATCTTAAAAAAATCTGCCTCCTTGTAATTTTCCCTACGTTGAATTTGAAGTCAACGGCTTTTTGCTCTTTTGGACATCAAGCTCAAAATTGGAAACCAAAACATATAATGATGGGTCGCAAATGTGAACAGGACCATTTGTCTTGATAATGAAAGTTTGAATTTTAAAGTATTAAAATCTTCTGGAAAGCTGGAATTTAAATGGATTCAAACATCCCCCTAACGTGTGATTTATGAAAATATCCAAAGAACTTTGGCTAAAATAATATCTTTCATCACATCAATAACTTTTCTTTCTTTTTCAACTACGAATTCTCCATCAATTTACTATTCCAGAATTTTATTCTTATACTCAGTTGCAACCACATATTTTTTAATAAAATAATATTTTCCATCACATCTATAATTTTTCTTTCTTTTTCAATCACACATTCTCCATCAATCTACTATTCTAAAATACATTTTTCCAAAATAATATGACTCAATATTTGATGGTCCGATAAAGCAAATTTTTGAACAATAATCTTACTTTAATCCAATCCCTACAGTAGCTCTACTTGAGAATAGTTGCAGTCTTGCAAAAATTACGACTTCGAATCAGTGATGACCTAGAGCTCGTTTGGTAGAGATTAAAATCGAATTAAAATAAAAAAATTAGCCGTTATTGTTGACTTTTATTAGACGAGTGGAGCCCAATAACGACTATATTTTCAATTTTAATTGGATTTTAATCGATACCAAACGGGCTCCTAATGTAACTAGGAGAAACTTTTTAACAAAATATATAGGGTTTGTTCGGTATAACTTAAAATTCAATTAAAATTGAAAATATGACCGTTATTGAGTCTCACTCGTCTAATAAAAGTCAACAATAACGGCTAATTTTTCAATTTTAATTTTTACCGAACATGCCCATAATATATTGAAAACAAAAAATAATAAATAATAAAATATCATCTATATATAACTCTCTTATTTCGACAGGGGCGAGTGATTTCACTGGTCCCACCTCCTTCCTTCATTGTTTGAGACCTTTCGAGTAACTTCCAAGTACAGAGTAATTGCCGACTCTCGAGCAAAAACAAAATTGACGGTAGAAATTTTTTTTTAATAAAATTAAAATTATACTTTTTAGCAAGTAAAATTTCCCAAATTTATCTACATATGCTGTGTGCACAGTAAGGTTTGGTCACCTACCTACAGTCGAAGGCTCGGAGCAGTTCACGGAATTTAAAAAAGCAAAAGGCACCAAAATATTATAAAAAAAAACATTTCAGAAAATTCCAAATGCGTACCCTTTTTTAAAGAAAAACAGAAGCTTTTAAAAGAGACCAAAAAAAGTAAAAATAATTGAGCTTAGTTCTGCTAAAGTGCATTGTCGGACTGCAAAACAATATTATACCCTCTTAGCTCGAGGATTAAAATCAGATATTTGGTAAATTTTGATAAAAGTTAATAAAATATATGTTAAGGGATATATATCCCACATCGATAAATGATGTTGACACAAATCAATTAATAAAGATTTTGGACTACTCCTCTTAATAAGGTTGACCTTTTAAGATGGACCCCCAAATCTTAATATGGTATCAGAGCCCATTATGCTCCAACGAGCGATTCGATCCGGTAAGACTCCAAAAATTTATGGAACTCAAATTCTTAACATGGTACCATAGCACATTATGCTCCAACGAGCGATTCGATTCGATTAAAACCCTAAAATGAGCACGTGGATTTCAAAATTGGTCTGCTCAAATGAGCCACCATCTTGCGGGGGCGTGTTAAGAGATATATATCCTACATCGATAAATGATGTTGACACGACCAATTAATAAAGATCTTAGGCTACTCCTCTTAACAAGGTTGACCTTTTAAAATGGAACCTCAATTCTTAACAATATATGGTTTTAAAAAATTGTGGGACCCATAAAATATATGGTTAAAATTAATTGTTGATTTTGATTTAAATTAGAATCTGGATTTTAATTTTCACCGAACAGGGGCTAAGTACATGTTAGAGCCCCATTTTTTTGCTATACAATGCATTTTGGAATAGTATATTAATGGATAATATGTGATTAGAAATGAAGGAAAAACTTTTGGGTTATATATAATATTATTTTATTGAGTAATGAGTGGATGAAAAGAAGAAATAGATAAATGTATTTTTTAAAAAAATGGGATTAAACAAGGGGGGTAAAGTATGATTTGTTGGTCAATTACTTTTTAAATAATTATTTTATATTATTTGAATGCTTTTCCTTTTAATTCCTGTGGGCTTACTTTTCTACCAAATTCGGGACAGCCACCAGCTTCGAGAAAAATATATGTTTCTTGGATCAGTATATTTTACTTGAGATTCTTGATTATTTCATTTCTCGTTTAATATGATTACATACGAACACAGATATTTATTTTATTAGTTAAATAATGAAATCCACTATGTTAAGTTTCTATAAATTAAGCATTTATTTATTGCATTAGAAGTTACTATTTTTGAGCTTTAACTTACTTTTTCTAAAAATAAGAATTTTACCTTTCTTTAATGCCGATTTGACCCTATTATTCCACATTATAATGAAATAAATAGTAAGATTTTGGAGAATGTGTGGTTAAAAAAAAAATTTTTGAACTTATATGTAATATTATTTTATTGAAAAATATGTGGTCGATAAGAATAGAGAGAAAAATAAATTATAATTTAATGGAGAATAATGAGGATCAAACCGTCGTTTAAATTACTCGTATTTTTTTTCTTTAAATTAGACTAACATGCTCTTATTGAAAATAATTCGGTCTACTTAAGAAATTCAACATTGTCCTCAACAACTTTAAGAAAGTCGCCACTTGAAAGTTATTAATGAAATGTAATTACCATCGTTCATAGAATAGTGATAATCGAGGTGGGGTGGAACAATAAATCAAGGAGTCATTACCACCTACATTGGTGATGATGCACATGTTCTCGATTTCAAACCATAAAACTATTATGCAACTGTTCTTAATACATGATTAAGGACCTCTCGAACGAGGCTTTTGAAAAGTGAAAAATCGATTTTGAATATGTTTGAATAATTTCTTGAAATTGTTTTGTCTAGTTGAAGAGCTTTTAGGCTAAATATCTTACTGATAAAGTTCTTCTGTAAGAAGTAAAAACAAATGTACAACTCCAATCAAATGGACATTAAGTGCTCGTGTGGAAGTGATTTTTGAAAATTACTTTTATTCAACTACACATTTTTCAAACAAAATCAATTTTCATTTTTTAATAACTTTTTCCTACTTTAACCTACGTGTTTAATAAAAGAAAAAACACACTTCTAAACGGATTTCACGTTGTTGGTGAGACCATGATGCACCTTCTCATCCCTCGTGTATCAATTGTGGATTGAAGAGTACAACAAGATATTTGTCCGTTTGTCGCAAATGAAGTAATCATTGTTAAACATGCAAGGAATGACAATTGAGAATAGTAAAATTTTAGTATTTAATTATGCAAAATTGTTTAAAAAGTGGTAATGATATCATTAACACGTGCTCAAGTCAAGTTTTTAATTCTAATGAATAGAAAAAATTAACTTAAAAAATTAAATAATCAAAAAAACTGTACAGTACCGTGTATAAATTTGAACTCGACTACGCTATTCTTGTTTGCTTCATTTTGTTCTATCTAATCGAACGTGTCATATCCTCTCATGTTATCAAAAAATATTTTTAAAAAAATCACAATATGTTTAATAAATTTTACAAAGATTTTTTTTTTTAACCTGGAATATTTAAAAGAGGAAAATATTAGCCTACCAATCAAAGAAAAAGTAAAGTCCACACGTTCACATCAGTAATAGGTCTAGTTTTTTGCCGGCCAGTAAAAGGTACAACTCTTTTTTCTCAACGTACAAACACCTAGTCTATCTAATCTTTGTGCATAATGTTTATAACTACAAAGGTCGTTGAACTGAAACTTTCATCTTTCCTCTTGTCTGACTTCTCTCTCTATAAATTTTCACACAAATTCATATGTTATATAGATGCACACATAATCAAGTGTATAGCCGTAGTATTGTTTAGAGTAAAAGTAAAGGGAAGTTAAGAAATTTAAAGAAATGCCGCCAGCGAGCATTTCGCTGGTTTTGGTGGCGGTGGCGGTGGCAGTGGCTGTTTTACCGGCTGCGGCGCTGTTTGGTGGTGAAGGGAAGAGCTTGACGTTGACTCTAGAAAGGACGAGTCATGACGGAGTGGAGATGAGTCAACTCAGGGACCGTGACCGAGCCCGGCATGGTAGAATCTTGCAGCAACAGCTGACGGGGGTGATTGATTTCCCAGTTGAAGGAACCTACGATCCTTTTCTTGTTGGGTATGATAATCTCACTATAATATATATTGCTATAGGTTTATGTGTCCGTATATGTATACACGAATTAATTGAATATACAGCAATAAATTGTACTGAAATTATCCCGAAAACAAGAAAAGAGAGGAATTTGATGGGTTCTTGGCTAGCATATATTTATATATTTGGGAATACATAAGATAATTTGTATATTTGGGTCTCAAATTTTACATTATGATTAAATTGGTACTTATTTGATCTTTTGGATCTTACTTTCAAGGCTATATTATACAAGAGTTAAATTGGGGACTCCTCCAAAAGAATTCTATGTACAGATTGATACTGGAAGTGATGTTTTATGGGTCAGTTGCAACTCCTGTAATGGCTGCCCAACATCCAGTGGACTCCAAGTAAATTCATCATTATTGTGTGAAAATTTTCATTCTCTTTTTAATTTCCCCTTCCAATTATGTCATAGAATTATTGGAAGACATTTCTTTAGTAGGATTTTGTTGCATTTTAACAGATTCAGCTTGAGTTCTTTGATCCTAGGAGCTCATCGACGGCTTCGTTGATCTCCTGTTCAGATCGAAGATGTGATTTGGGATCAGAATCTTCCGATTCGTTGTGTTCGGGTCAAAACCAGTGCAGTTATAGGTTCCAGTACGGTGATGGCAGTGGGGCCTCTGGTTTTTATGCATCGGACTTGATGTATTTTGACACAATAATTGGGAATTCGCTGGCCTCAAATTCTTCTGCACCTATTGTTTTTGGGTGAGTTAATGATGAATCATAATTATATATTCAGTATATTTCATCTGGCCTACATCTTTCATAGCAGCTCCCAAGCCTCAGTAAGGAGAAGGGTTGTTGTACCGTATCCTGAAGAGAGCAAAATGACAAATAATGATTTTATGGAGCCAAACTCTAAATTTATTGAGAATAAGGCTAAGTTTGTTGTTTAGTCAGTGTATTCTTTATTCTTTGTTTGACCTTGTTGCATTGTCATGACACAGCTGTAGCACATCGCAGACGGGGGACCTTACCAAGATGGATAGGGCAGTTGATGGTATATTTGGTTTTGGACAGCAGGGTTTCTCTGTTATTTCACAGCTTTCATCACTAGGAATCACCCCGAATGTGTTCTCTCATTGCTTAAAAGGAGGTAATGGTGGCGGTGGCGGTGGCGGCGGCATATTAGTACTCGGTCAGATTGTGGAGCCAAATCTCGTATACACTCCACTTGTCCCGTCACAGTATGTATTTCCTCCTGTCAATTACTTTTGTTGCTCATCTCATTTTTCCTCACCGTTACCAAGTTTACTCTGCCATATAAGGTGTTCAGGTTCTAATTTTCAAGGAAATCTATGAAAGGCAAAATGCTTATTTTAATAAGTTTGCTCTTGATAGCGATATTATGAGTTCAGATTATTTAACAGCGTGCGCTATTTTCAAATTTTTTGATTTTATTTTTATTTTTTCTATGGGTGTACGTGTATACCCCCTAGAACTGTTAAATAATCTTATTCTGCGAGTATTTTGTCCATTACATACAAATGCATTGAAGTTTTGAACTGTACAACTGAAGTTTGATATTATTTCTGTATCTAAACTGGCAGGCCACATTATAACTTAAATTTGCAGAGCATTGCTGTTAATGGGCAGATATTACCCATTGATCCAGCAGTGTTTCAAACATCTAATAACCGGGGAACAATAATTGATTCTGGAACGACTTTGGCATACCTCTCAGAAGAGGCTTATGATCCTTTTGTAAACGCTGTAAGTATGATGATGTATTTTCTGATTTCTCATAAAGTTACATCTTAAATTTATAAAGGATCGCCAAGCTTAATAATTTACTTATAAGCAAATAAGTATATTTTGATATATAATCTTTTCTATTGATAATAGTAGGAAATAAGTAACCCCACCTTGTTTCGAAAATAACCCTACGTTACCGGAAAACTTAATTAACTTGTTTTACACTTTTACTCCCAAGCAAGAAAAGAGGCATATCCGAACATTTTTGGACACAAAAATTTACTTAAAAGTAAATTCGATTTTTAAGCTTAGGCGAACATGCAAGCAAGCTACATTTTGAACTATAAATCTGTTTGGTTTTTAATTGTGTATTTGTGATATCAATGGACACAGCGAGACTTAAAAGAATTAGAATATTTTCTTTTGTGCAGATAACGCAGACAGTTTCACAATCTGTACGCCCTCTTGTTTCTAAGGGAATCCAGTGCTATCTAATTACCTCCAGGTTCTTTTGGAAGACACGATATCCTCGTCTAGATATTTTTGAGCTACTGGGTCGATCATTTCCATTTATTTATTTTTGTTTATTATCACTACAGTGTCTCCGAGATATTTCCCCCAGTTAGTTTAAACTTTGCTGGTGGGGCATCAATGCTACTGAAGCCTGAAGATTACCTCTTACAGCAGAACTCCATTGTAAGTCAGCATTCTTGACCTGTTTGAACTGATTTCTCTTCTCATAGTGCTGTGTGCTTAAAATATAAATAATTAGGTTTTAAATTTATTTATGGGTATTTACTTAGTTTCTTTTTACCCGAGAATCCGTACTTTCATGTGGATTGTTTTTCAAGATTGTGATAGGGCACCTCACTCCCATTAAAGTCTTATCCTTATCAAGATTCGTGAATGGCAAAAATGCAAAAGCATCAATTTACCTCTCTTAATGTTTCATTTCTTGTTCTATCAATTCCTTTACTGGCCAAAGAAATTCCTTCATGATTAATATGAACTATAAAGATATTGTGACCAATATTAGCTATTGCGACCAGTGTTTGCATTATCATTGATCTTCCCGTCTCTAGGATACTTGTACATGTCTTACGCTTGTCAATGTGCAATTGTTGTATTAGGGCAACCAATGCATTAATGTCACCTAAGGGCTAATAAACGCAGTTGATCTTTTGATGCTTGTATTGAAGTCGTCGTAAAATGACTTGTTTAATAAGGTGAATTAAACAATTACTGAATGTTATTAATAAAGACAAAAAGCTATTATTTGGGTGATTCTACTTTTTAGTACTATCCCATATTACGTGCTAAACATGCCCTTGTTGTATTATGTTTCATCTAGAGGATTGATTCCATACTGATACTCTTATACACTTTTGGGCTAATGTGCTTGTATCATCTTGTTTGAAAGCATTTTTCGTTGTCTTATTCTCTCTTTCCTTGTGTAGATATATTCAAATTTTAGTGAAATGCTGTTATTTTAGCTGTCAATGTCATAATACTATTTTGCATGGTTTGCTCGTGCAGAGTGGTGCTGCAGTATGGTGCATTGGTTTTCAGAAACTTCAGGGTCAAGGGATTACGATTTTAGGAGGTATGGCTCATGGTGAAATTAAAGTATCAGCTAATAGAGTCAGTTTCTGCATATAAATAAATAAAGTCTCAAAAAGTATTACCATTAATATACTTTTTTTTCTATCTATTCATGCATCTTGCTAACGCCATTTAATCTAATAAATGTGTATATGCATACTTGTTAGCCGTGTTAACACCAAATATTAATTTACATTTAACTTATGTAGCAAACTTACAGGTATCATTTTTCTCAAGTTGAGATGAATCTAAATTAATTCTTTGTCACTTTATAAGAGTGTTACTAACGTTTATCTTTTGGTTTTAATTACGCGTAGAATAATTCTTCGTCTAATGCTACTGTGTTTTTCGACATTAGATAACTATGTCGGAAAAGTGCTTATGTATGTTGTTTTCCATAAATCCATTAGTTTTCTCTATTTGCAGACCTTGTCCTGAAAGATAAAATTGTTGTATACGATTTGGCTGGTCAACGGATTGGATGGGCCAATTATGATTGTAAGTTTTTACTACTACTTTTTACCTATATATATTATTGATATACATTTATTCTTGTGTGTTTCATTTGCATGTTGATTTCTTATATGCTTTTGTAAAGTGCAATTATTTGTGTATGTGATCGTCAAATATAATGGTGGCAAACTGGCTGAGCCGCTCGATGTCTCGTGGGGCTTGGCTCTTCCCTGTCTTGACCCATGGACCACTTGGGCTCATATTGAAACTAGCCATGGTCTGAGACGAGCTTAATTTTTTTCATGAGCCAGCTCGTCTTGAGTTCTTGGGCCGTCTCAGGCTCGTCCTTAGAGCTTAGCCGGCTAGACTCGGCTTGGCCATTGTCTCCCCTAGCCAAATATATGGAAGTTCTAGCAAATGAACTTACTCGTGACTTATAATTGTAGAGATAGTTCATGTCTCTTTATTAATTGTGCATTCGCACCAAACCCAAGTCTTCATCCATTGTCTAACTTACCGGATTTAAATTCATCCCATATAGGTTCATCTTCCGTGAATGTCTCTACAAGCACTGGCAATGGCAAAACTGAATTTTTCAACGCGGGACAAGTCAACAATAGTTCGTCACGTCTCAATTACTACGAGCTGATACCAACTATTGTTCTAGCTCTCTCATTTTATGTATTGAGTCTTTGGCATATTTACATTTTTTAACATTTAGAGGAGCAATTTTACATTTCTTACTATAGTTTCTGGTCCAAAGAGATGTTCGTAGCAATCGTTAAGTCTTGTGTTGTATAATAGATTGCAGTTTCAAGCTGTTCTAATTTGTTGATTATTGTAGAATTACTATCCCGGAACGGGAGATTTCATACGGGAATATTTTATTTATACGGAAGTAATTTATTGTATACTTGATTAATGCGATAGTATAAATTTGGTTAGAAACCTTTTTCTCTCTTGTTTTCGTTATTGATTTTGTTTGAACAATTGTACTGCAACTTGAGCATGTTTGGCGCGTATGATTGAATAGTATTAGACAATATTAAGAGAAGAAAATGAGACTAAAACTTTGTTGAGTTCTATCAACTATTAAGTTCCATAAATGCGCTTTTTGTGTTATATCTTCGACATGCATCTTCAAGCGATCATATAACTTTTCATAAATTGAATTACCTTTTGTAATTGGTCGGTGACACGATTTGAACTGAAATTTTAATTTTACTGTCACCACATTTGAATCAAATCACGACCTTAAACATGTAGAGAAGAAATATGTCTATCTGTAACACGAGCATGAAGGCTGAAAATAGGAAGCTCAACTGCTCAAGAATGAGTAAGCCTTTGATGCAGCAGCCCTCTGTTTGAAATAATTTATGCACTTTCCTTTACTCAATGGACCTTCTTGAATACCTTAAAGCCTTCTATTTTCATCAAATGACTCAGCTCCCCTTGGCTCTTCCATCATCCGCTCTCCCTTCCCTCCCTAAGCCATGCTCCTGTGGTGCAGGCCTACCATTCTCCGTGGTTGCAGCATTTTTCGCTAGACATCCTTTGTAAGTACTTGTATTCGTGCACTGACAAAGTGGACGAGTTGTCCTTCACTGTTGCATTATATTAGAATGTGAAATACAAAATAATCGTAATTGAATGGAACAGCGAATTACATGGTACACTATGTCGAGCTGTAATGTGTTGATGATATGAAGATATTTAAATGAAAAAAGAGAGCTATAGATTTCAAGCTCAAATATGCTATCTTAAGGGTTGAAAGCAGTTCGATGTATTTGATACTTGAGAAATAAGAGAGCATACTACCATCCAAACTCAAAAAGAGCACACCACATTTCATATATTGATTTGGACATTATAACTCACGAATATTTCGAACGTATTTCTTACATGACGTTTAATCTATCAAATATCAAGTATGCCAGAGCACCCTATTCACGTCTGGAAAAGTCAACCCTTGTGTAGTTTAATCACATATTCTTTTAAAAAAAAACATTTATCATAATATTTTTATTTTTTAACCACATAGTTTTCAAAATCAAATTTGAAAGAATCTCTCCACCCGAGCAATGAATAAATTTCTTCGATCCTACTCATAAGAACATTAAACTCTTGCTTAGTGTTGATAAAAATCAAAATTTTAGTAGATTTTGATAAAAAATTAGATAAAATATATGATTAAAAATTTGTAGATTTTATAAACTACGTTACTAAAATTAATTACTAATTTTGATTTAAATCTTAGAGTCCATTTGATAGGCAAATGCGAAAAGGAATTCTAATTCCATATTAATTAAAAAATAAAAACTCACCAAATTCATAAGAATCCGTTTTTCATGCAAATAAAGAAAATATAGCTTAAAATGATTACACATTGAAATTCGATTTTTATTTTCACGTTGCAATCAAATAGTAAAAGTAAAATTCATTTTTCTTGAATGTGATATTTTCCAATGCGTTAATATAACTTTTTAAGAAATACTATTCATCTCCACTGGGGATGCATCCCCAATCCATGTGACGTTAATGTGGCATTAAATGATAGGTGAAATTAAATAGGTCATTTAATTTCACCAATCATTTACATCCATATAGATTGGGGATGCATCCCCATTGAGGATGAATAGCATTTTTTTAACTTTTTAGTATTGCGTAACCTAAATTTGAATAGTTACCATCTCGTGAACTTGTAAATTTTAGAGAGAGAATAAAATAACAAATTAATTCCTCACCCTCTTCTCCTGTTAACTTAGAAAATAAGCCTTCTCTCTCACACACTACGGGACAGAAACACGCTCAACACACACTTAGAGCTAAGGCTAGGGTTCCTAATAGATTTTCGAAATTTCCAAATTTGTTCGAGTATTCCAATAACAAGATCGATGGCGGAAGAGGTGGCGGTGGAGAGGAACGGTGGCGGAGACGATTGGAGCGAAACGAGCGATTACACGTCGGAGGACGAGGGGACGAAGGACTACAGGCGGGGAGGCTACCACGCTGTACGAATAGGTGATACATTCAATCACGGCCGATATGTTGTTCAGAGCAAGCTCGGCTGGGGCCATTTCTCCACCGTCTGGCTCGCTTGGGACACCCAAAAATCTGTATATTTCTCGATTCATCTACCTTATTTGGAAATTTTTACTGTTCTTGTTATGCATTTTCTGTTGTCTTGTGGAGTTATGGTTTCTCTTTTGAACTAATATTATTCTAGGACATGTGGTAGACGCAATGAACAGAGAGTTTATAAAATGCATTGTTTAATTAAGTTTTGAACCTAAATATAGTTTAACTGATTGTGATTTTCTTTTATGTTAAATATTTGGGTGATAGAGGTATGTAGCACTAAAAGTTCAAAAGAGTGCACAGCACTACACAGAAGCAGCAATGGACGAGATCACTATATTAAAACAGATTGCCGAGGGAGATCCAGAAGACAAGAAATGTGTTGTGAAGCTTTTGGATAACTTTAAGCATTCAGGACCAAATGGACAGCATGTTTGTATGGTTTTTGAGTACTTGGGCGACAATCTTTTGACCCTAATTAAGTATTCAGAATATAGAGGATTGCCTATTCCCATGGTTAAAGAAATTTGCTTCCATATTTTAGTAGGGTTGGATTATTTGCATCATCAGCTATCAATCATACACACAGATTTGAAGCCAGAGAACATATTGCTTCTGTCGATGATCGATCCAGCTAAAGATCCAAGGAAGTCAGGTGCACCTCTTATTCTCACCTCGAGTAAAAGCAAGGTCGTGCCGGAGTCTGGATCTTCCAAAAATGCTAAGTGTTCAAATGCTGACCTGACCAAGAATCAGAAAAAGAAAATCCGGATAAAGGCCAATCGAGCAGCTGAGAGGTGCGTTGAAGCCGAGCTTGATAGTGAGGCAAGTGGTCCTGAAGATTCTCATCGTGATGGCAAATTAAATAGCGATTCCACTGAAGATCCAACAAATATTTCAACTGCAGAAGATAAATTGGACAGCTCTGATGGTGTGACGGATGCTGGCAAAGGGACTATAGTGCATAAGAGAGGTAGCCGTCTAACAAGGCAGAAGCTATTGGCTGAAGTTGACCTAAAGTGCAAACTGGTCGATTTTGGAAATGCTTGTTGGACATATAAACAATTCACAACTGACATTCAGACAAGGCAGTACAGGTGTCCTGAGGTTATCCTAGGATCTAAGTACTCCACATCAGCTGATCTATGGTCATTTGCATGCATTTGCTTTGAGCTGGCCACAGGAGATGTTCTTTTCGATCCTCACAGCAGCGACAACTATGACCGTGATGAGGTACGGCCGTACGGGCACCTCTCTGTACTTGAATGTTTTCCGAATTTGAGACTTATAGGATTAATAAGGTTTTTATTATTGACCGTGGGATCCGATAAATGCAAGTATATATGTATATGAATAGAGCAAGACCCGTGTTATACATGAATGAGCAAAAACACTGTTCTGCTAAATTGCTTACTGGGTCATCTCTGATTGGCAGTCTGGTTCTGATCATTTCGTTACTAAGTGCTTGTAGTACTGTTTTCTTGTGTTATAAAACTTTATTATGTATCATGATGACTGGACTGTTGCTGTATTTTGAAAATATTATAGTGGCATTTCATGTTCGCCTTTACTTGGAGTAGGCTTAACACTCGTTATAAATTTAATACTGCCTTGAAGCAAACAGCCCTGGGGCTGGCACTGGTACTTGTTTGATTGAGCGTCTTTTACAATTCATGTCTAAAAGCTTAGTCAATTATGTTGCCCATATTAGAATATCACATGTTGGTTATTGTTCTTCCTGAGCTTCTGTTCGGCCATCCTTTATTTGCTGTTCATATTTGAAATGCCATTGAGTGATTTCATCCAGAGGAAATTTCAGTTTTTATGTGGGTATCCGAAGTCGTAGAGTAACTTGAAATGATTGTTTTTATGTTGCTTGCTTACTACAATAGGAAGATCTTGACTGATACATGGCTTTTCTACATGGCATTCCAATATGACTGGTTCTTGTTATGTTAGGTAGCCAGTATTTGCTGCGCGATATGCGGTGAAGTATACGGATATTTACTTGTGCATTCTGTTGACCTATTGGGTTATCTCTATTTTCCTTTTCTGAAAATTCCTCGATTCGGTTTTCGTAGCATACTTTATAGACATATTTACTTCATTTTTAAGGGACAGATGACATCACTTTGTAAAAATATCTCTATATAATGTCATTCTAAACTGCTACCTTCTTGTGTTAGATACTTAGTCCATGTTTGGCTAATGTTTATAAACTGTTTATAATTGGTCAAACCACTTTTATCCACAAGTTTTATGGGACCCACAAGTAGTACCCGCTCAACCATAATTCATTTCTATCCGTTTATAATTTAAACCAATTATAAATAGCTCCCAAACATGCTTAATGATGAGTTAGTGCGCTCTATTTCGTGTTGGCTTGGCTCATCAGTGACTTGTGAGTTTCTGTCTGGTAGCTAAGTTTCAGGTTTCCTTTGGTATGTATTATTATTTATTACCATTTATATCAACAATATTATTATTTGTTACCATTTATATCAACAATCTGAACCAGTTACGTAAGATGCATTTCCTCAGCATTTAGTTCAAATTCTTAAATCGCGTATATTGGTTTCTTATTAAATTGATTGGTTTCGCTATTAATTAGTTTCCTTTTCCTTTGAAGGATCATTTGGCCCTGATGATGGAGCTTCTCGGGATGATGCCACGCAAGGTGAGATTTTTTTTTTGTTGTTTGTGAAGAAAATTGGGACAATTTGTTTCTCCTGTTATTGTACCCAACTAAAAGCCTAAAACCATCAATTTTGATTTTTGTGTTGAATTAATTTATGAAGATTGTTACATTACATACTCCTCAAGAAGTAATTTTTCCCATGCTTACACAAACTTTCTGCAGATTGCCTTAGGTGGGCGCTACTCACGGGAATTCTTTAATAGATACGGAGATTTGAGACATATCCGTCGATTAAGATTTTGGCCTCTCAATAAGGTGCTTGTGGAAAAATATGACTTCAGTGAGCAAGATGCAAATGACCTGTCTGACTTCCTTGTTCAGATACTCGATTTTGTACCCGAGAACAGGCCGACTGCAGCACAATGTCTTAACCATCCATGGATCAGCACAGGCCCTCGACGACTAACCCCTTCTACGTCTCTAGAAAATGGTTACTCAGACAAGCAGAGAGAGAAGGATGAGAGAGAGGCGATGGAGGTCAGAGTGGGGAACATGTCTATTGGCTGACAGACAAAACCTGTCAAAGATTCTCAATCTGTACTATACCCTCCAAAACAGTCATAATTAATATAATCTGGTATTGTCTATAATTGTGTTTCATTTTTTCCGTCTTTCACATATCATTGTTGAGTTGCCATTATCTTTCTCTCTGTTACAATGAGGAACACTTCTTTTATATTCTTTGAGATATCCGAGTTTGGTATGAGAATGGTGGACGGGGAAGAATATATATGACATGTCGGCATCTTTGTACAACAACACTTTATTGTACAATCCAGGGGCCTGTCGGTGGATCGTGTTATGTATTTCTTTGTGCAATGTTCATATTTGTCTTTCTGATTAGCACTGGATTGTAGTGATAACCTACTTTCTTTTTCCCGTTTTCTATTTATCGTTGAATATATTATTGAAATTGAAAATCAGTGGAGGATCAACCAGAATTTTTTGACATCTTGGATGACAGAATGTCAGATGGCATCCAATCATTGGTGTGTTTCAGATACAGTCAACACCACCATCCAATCATTTTTTTTCCGCAACTTAATCTGTCATCTAAGATGTCAAAAACATATGGTAAAACATCATTATTCGAATCAATTTGTCTATTAAGGTATGTGCTTTGTTGTGGTTCATTTCATTTCTCCCGATATCCGAGCGCTAGACTTTGATTGATCTTCTCGATACTTCTTTTACTTGAAAGTTAAAGATACCATTGCCGTTCTCTTGCTCCTTTTGTTTGCCTTTGATCAATGGATTATATTTTTCTGTTCAACATAATTTTTTTAACTTTTTTTAATTTTTTTTTAACAGAATATACGCGACGCTATGTGATTGGAAAGTTAGGAAAAAAAATCAAAAATGCTGGTTGTACAGGAGAAGTTGACAGTGAGGATGACCAAATTTTGAAAAAAGCTGATATGACATGTCCACTCGCAGGAAGTAGAATGAATAAAGAAAGAAAACAATTGTTGTTTAGGGACCACATGTATCCTTCCAAAATTCAACACTCAGGTATTTTCCCCAAATGATGAAACCCTCAGCATTGGTGACAAATTATAATGGCTTCATTAGAATCCATCTTCCATTGGAGCTTCAAAGAGCATGAAATCTCATCTTTTATTTCATCCTGTCATCACTCAAGCCTCACATGTCCGGCCCATCAACTCCAGTTTCGTGTAAACGGCCCCAATCGGTTAGTCGTGTAGCACAGCTTTGTCAAACCGCCTCTCCATTGAACGTGAAAGTCCATCTTCTTTTAGCTCAGCCTTCACTCGAGCTTCGTCTGAACATGAAGGTCCATCCATTTTCAGTCTAGCTTCGAGCGTCGTCTATAACCCAACCCATTACACAGGTTCAGTACATTGTTCGAATTTTTGTGGTTTAGTTCATTAATCGATTTTTTGAAATTTGTATGATATGGGTTATGCTTCATCCAAAAGTCAATTGCAGAGTGAGTTGAAATTCTATCTTTGCATGTTCAGACATACGTGTAGTCAAATTTGGAACTATGACCGTGCTTCCGAACGTAAAAAATAAGTGAAATTTCGGATTTTATTTTTTTAATACGTTCGTTCTGCAGTTGAATTTATGCTCGTGAGAATGAAGGACGGCTAAAAATCCATGCATCTACATTGAAATGAATACTTTGTATCAATGTGTATTTATACGGTGTTAACGTATTGCTGAACTAGAATGCTTATATTTTTCACAGTTGAACAAATCGTGGATGAAGTGGATGATGATACTTTGGTGGATTAAGACAATGAGAATGTAGAAGACAATATGGACCAAGTGGAAGTTGAGATTGTACAAGGAGATTGTAGTACTGTGCCCGCGATAGGAATGACGTTTAAGGATGAAAACGAAATGTGGGATTTTTACAAAAGATACGCCTATGTCGTTGGTTTTCCAGTTAGGAAACGGAATTCAAAGAAGGATGAAGACGGAGTTTTAAAATATCTAATGTTGACATGTGGTTGGGAAGGCAAAAGAAGTTCTACTAAAAGCGGCTCTTTCAAGCTGCACTCGACAATTCAGACGGGTTGTAGAGCTAGGATATCTGCATCTTCATATATTCATGGCTCCTGGAGAATCCACACAATCCATCTAGAGCACAATCATAGAACAAGTCATATGAAGTCCAGGTTATACTGTTGCAATCGAGAACTGAGTGCGCATGTGAAGAGGAAGCTTGAAGTGAATGATCTAGCAAGCATTCCGTTGCACAAATCGTACAACTGGCAGTGGTGGAAGCAGGTGGTTATGAGAATATGACTTGCATCGAAAATGATTGTCGAAACTATATTGAACAAGTTCGGCGATTACGACTTGGAGCAGGAGACGCAGAGCGATACAATCCTAATTTTCGAAAATGCAGTCAACGTGTTCAGGTTTTTACTTTAGCATGGATTTGGATGACGATTCTCATCTAAGGAATGTATTCTGGGCAGACAGTTGGTCTAGGCAAGCATTTAAGGAGTTCAAGGATGTTGTTACATTTGATACCACTTACCTGACCAATAAATATAACATGTCGTTCGCCCTTTTTGTTGACGTAAATTATCACGGACAATCAACACTGCTTGGTTGTAGTTTGGTGTCGAACGAGGACACACTCTTTTGTGTGGCTGTTCACAGAATGGCTTAAGTGCATACATGGTCAACCTCCACATGGAATCGTTACTGATCAAGATCGGGCAATGCAGAATGCAATTCAGATCGTATTTCCAAATACGAAGCACAGATGGTGCTTGTAGCATATATTGAAGAAGTTGCCTGAGAAGTTTAGCTATCACGAGGATAAGGGTTCGATATTTTCGACTATCTACGGACTGGTTTATGATTCCCAGACTATTGCAGAATTTGAAGGAGGTTGGATAGCGATGATCGAGTCATATGGATTGCAAGATAACACTTGGTTGTCAGGCCCTTATGATAATAGAGGACGTTGGGTCCTTTGTTTTTTGAAAATCATTTTTTGGGTAGGGATGTCAACGACGCAAAGAAGTGAAAGTATGAATGCATGTTTTGACAGATACGTTCATTCGAAGACATATTTGAAACAGTTCGTCGAACAGTATGAGCGGGCACTACGGAATAAGGTTGAGAAAGAGTTCCAGCTGAATTTAGATCATTTTCACAAATGATACCGTGTGCAACAACTTATGACATGGATAAGCAGTTTCAATCGGAATACACCATTTCAAAATTTAGAGTTCATGAGGAGTTCACGAGAAAGGTTTACTGCGATCTCATATCTTCGTCGAAAGGAATTTTGTGGACAACGTAGGATGTACGGGAGAATGTTGTATATGAACAATACCGGAAGAAAAAATAGTTCAAAGTCACATTTCGAAGAGAGGCCATACAAATTAGTTGCAGCTGCCACTTGTTCGAGGTTAGAGGAATAATATGTAGGCATGCCATCACTATGTTGATCAATAATGACATAACATCACTTCCGAAATGGTACATTTTGAGACGTTGGAAAAGAGATGTTAGTAGATCACATTACAGGGTCGCAGTCAACTATGACGGATTGGTTAGTTCTCCTAGACAATTGAGATACGACAGTATGTGTAAGGCTTTTGCCATGGTGGCAGACCTTGTTGTAGATGACGAAGTCTGGGCTAATGCCATAATGGAATGAATTGGACTACAATCTAAAGAGCTAGCGTTGATGAAGTCGATTTGTGGAAGTAATAGCATTCCACATCAATGTAATCAGTTGGCTGCTATGTGTAACGATTCACAAAATACTACGAGCCAGAATGTATTGGATCTGACATCATCCCGAAGATAAGGCGCGCCAAAAAAACTTCGACGAAAAGGATCCTTAGAGTCGACTTCAAAGAAGGTACATGTATATTGAACCTAAATACTATAAATTGAAAATTATTGTTAATACAAATTCTCATTTCATATGATGAACATGCAGGCAAGTTCGACTTCTGCTAAACAAAAGAGATCGACATCAAAGCATAGTAATATTCGTGCGGGTGAAATCGAACCTCAGCCAATAAATGCAAAACAACAATATCCGATGTCTCCACAAGTCACATTTTCATAGTTCTCGCTTCTGACGTCATTCCCATTACCACAATATGGCATGCCGACATCGTTATCATATGCTCAACACTTACAATCTTCGAATTTGAAGAATTCGTCGTCAACAAATGTCAGATACAATTCGCAAGGTAGGTTTACATTCATTACATATTTGTAATTTATTTGGATAGTTTTCATATATACACTGATGAAAGTTCAATGTCTATTCTAGGTCATGTTTTTCCGTTGTACTATCCACATTTGCTGGATCAAGGAAGCACAAGTTTTTTATGTTTGATGGACATCACATGTAGTTGAGGTAGTAGGTAACTCTTACTTGTTTTATTCGAATCAACTTGTCTGATAAAAAAATTCTTAATGTTTGGACTTATTTTCATAATCTTGTATTATTTTACTTCTCGTTTCTTATTTTGGCTAGTTTCAAGGTTAGTCTATAAATTTAAAAAACATACAACTGTGGACTTGACCATTGAAATGCAACAACTATTTTCTTGTCGTTGCTTATGTATCTATCTCACTGATTTGCAGCTTCGCAATGGAGTCCACATCACCCCGATTCAATGTTAACGGGATTGAAGTGGTGTCGTGGTCCTATTTAGCAAAGCTTCCATACATTCAGTTGAAGAAGAGTGGTCCTATTTTTTTTTTTTTTTGTTTTTGAAGATTCCATTGTATCATTTGCAAATAGCCTTTTTTTGCTAGATTACAAAGTTTGGAAAACAAGTGGTTTGTCATTGACATGTATTAAACATTATCTATTGCAAGTGATAACAATGAATCCATTTTTGATGTAATTCCTGATACTTTATTCAAGTGTTTCCTTAAGCATAATGTTGTGTTCATTCACTGCATTGTTTAAGGTCTTTCATTTTGGCCAATGTAGATAGTGTAACGGACTTTTTCGAATGTGTCATGTAGAGGAAGATTGTTTTGTCGTAGAACAAAATTTAACATTGAAAATCAACAGACTGTGTCGTTAATTGGGATAATATTAGTTATTAACTTAGGTCCACAAAAGAATGAATGCATGTGTCGATGAGAAGTAATTACCTGATTACCTATGGAGTAGAGTTCATCAACTCTAGACTTCAATTGCTTCATTTGATTGAGTTGAATAGCCAAAGAGAATGGACTAGTTCTACTTGCAAATACAGAAGCATTAGGCAGCAGTAATGTGGATCCTGATGTGGCAAAGTTTGCACCAAGTCTAAAATCAGATTCAATTGATTGAAGATAAGTGCTTAGAAACACGAATAGAATCAACAAAAACAACAAACTGACATTAGCATAAGAAAACGTTAAAGTGACATTGTTTTCATCCATAATTCGCTAACAACTACATACTTCGTTGACATGAACAAAATAAAAATAAAACATTTACATAATTTAGTACATAACACGTTCAACAAATTACTACACATCAAGTCGTCCATTTTCCTTTTGCAATCCCTTCCGAGCTTCCTTTGCCCCTGCGAATCGTCACATTCACGGATATTTCGAAGTCTGCTTCTTTAGTTAGTCAAGCTTGAGATTTGATGTAAAAACCAGATTTTCTCGAAAACTCAAATATTTTACTAATTCAAAAAAAATAAATACATTTCGAGTCAAAAGAAATAAAATTAACATTTATTTATTCAGCAATAAAAATAAATTGTCTTTCAAGAATAAAATAAAATGAAAGAACGTTTATTTCCCAACGATAACCCAAAGATAATGGATTCCCTTCTTATTTAATTAAAAGCTTCTACCATCATCTACCGAATTACGAGCTCCAAACTCACAATCTCATTTACTCGAGGGGGGGAAACACTTAAATGGGTGAGATTTAAGAAAAATCTCAATAAGCGTGTGCAGTGAACAAGTAATTTACATTTAAATTTAAGGAAAAACAATATTTCATATCATACATAGGAGACACGGGAATTACTCCGAACATATGTGGTAGTAAACCCTGTGCGTAGCGCTATTAAACTCCGGACTTCTTATCATAAACATATATGGCCCATAAACGGATTTCCAAAATTTAAAGCACAAAATACGAATCACATAAATCACATGTAACATCACTTACCTCATAAATTTCGAATGAAAATTTATAAGATGTGCTTGGGGTAGTTGATTATTCAAAACCAGCCTTTAGTCTTCTGTGCGTGCAGTACCAAAGAAAAAGATTCTTTTGTGTGTGTGTGTGTGTGTGGAAGGTGAAAGACTTGTGTGTGTGTGTGTCCAAATTTAATATTATCATAATGAAAGAAAAAGAGGAATCTTTCTTACTAGGCTCCACATGGCATTAACTATTTACCAAATTCTTACCATGATTCTTGCATATTTACCATATACACACACGTACAGATTTGGAGCAGACCTAGATTTAAAGGAAAAAGATCCTACCTAATTTAATCAAGTCCTTAACTATGAATAGTTCACAATTGATCCCTAAACAATATAAACTAAGCAATTTGATCCTTAGATATTCAACTTCTCACTATAAGGTCCTAATTTTCAATATTAACGACTATGATGAATTCTCGGGGTGTTACAATCTACCCCTCTTAAAATAAATTTTCGTTCTCGAAAATTACCTTAGTCGACATTATCGAACAATTGGGGGTACTTCGATCTCATCTCCTCTTCGCGTTCCCAAGTTGTTTCTTCGATTGAATGGTGTTGCCATAACACTTTAACCAACGGTATCTCCTTGTTCCGAAGCTGTTGTACCTTTTGAGCTATAATGCAAAGTGGGGTCTCTTCATAACTCAAGTCCCGTTGAATTTTCAAGGGTTGATGTATAAATACGTGACTCGGATCAGGAATGTACTTTTTCAAGGGTTGATGTTTTAATACGTAACTCAGATCAGGAATGTGCTTCTTGAGTGTCGATATGTGGAAGACGTCATATATTGTAGAAAGCTCTGGTGGCAAAGCTAATTGATAAGCTACATTTCCAACACTTTTGAGTATCTCGAAAGGTCCAATGTATCTTGGTCGAAGTTTCCCATTTTTATCCAAATCTTAAGACACCTTTCATTAGTGAAACCTTCAAAAATACACTATCACCAATAACAAATTCTAGTTCCTTACGTCTTCTATCTGCATAGCATTTTTGTCTGTCTTGGGCGGTCTTCATGTTGGCTCGAATCGTTTCGATGGCCCGAACCGTTCGTTCCATGATTTCAGGTCCTAAAATTTTACATTCACTGACTTCATCCCAATGAATGGGCGATCTACACTTCCTTCCGTACATGGCTTCATATGGTGCCATGCCGATAAAGGCATGATAACTGTTGTTATAAACGAACTCGAATAATGGTAAATGCTTTTCCCAATGTCCCCCAAAATCTAGGACACACATTCGAAGCATATCCTCTATTGTTTGAATTGTTCACTCGAATTGTCCGTCTGTTTAGGGTGAAAAGCTATACTAAACTTTAGCTTAGTTCCCATTGATCGATGCAGGTTTTTCAAAGAGTTTGATGTAAACCTGGGATCTCTATCAGACACAATCGAAATTGGAACACCATGTAATCTCACCACTTCATTAACGTATAGTTGCGCAAATGGGTCCATAGAAAATGTCATTCGAACAGGTAAAAAAATGAGCTAACTTGGTCAGTCTATCGATGATTACCCAAATAGCCTCATGACATCTTACTTTTTGGAAAACCCACAACAAAATCCATCGTTACATGCTCCCATTTCCATTCTGGGATATCTAATGGTTGTAGCAACCCTGATGGTCGTTGATGTTTAGCTTTCAACCTGTTGACAAATTAGGCATTTCTCAATGAACTCAGCTATGTCTCTCTTCATATTCCTCCACCAAAATATGGCTTTTAGATCACGATACCTTTTTTGTACCTCTAGGATGTACTGAATAAGGGGTTGTGTGGGCTTCCTCCAAAATTTCTCTTCTCAATTCCTTAAAGTCTGGTACACACAAACGTCATTGATAACATAATGTTTTATCCTCAGTTATAGTGAACCCATTTCGCTTGTATCAATTTCAGATTTAATAAATTCGAAAAACTGATCACCCTGCTGATGGTTCTTAATTCGATCTCGAATTGTTGGCCGAACCGATAGAGCTGCTATATGAGCTATAGTGTCTGACGGTGTCATCAATACTTTGAGATTTAACTTCTCAAATTCTCTCCATAGAGACTTTTGTGCCGTTAACATTGCCAACTTGCTCGTGGTTTTCCTACTCAAAGCATCTGCCACTACGTTCGCCTTGCCTGGATGGTAATAAATTTCACAATCATAATCTTTTACCAATTCAAGCCACCTCATCTGTCTCATGTTCAACTCTTTTTGAGTGAAAATGTATTTGAGGCTTTTATGATCAGTATAAATGTCGCATTTACCTCCGTATAGGTAGTGCCTCCAAATCTTCAAGGCGTGTACTACCGCTGCGAGTTCTAGGTCATGTGTGGGGTAATTTTGTTCATGAGGCTTCAACTGTCTAGAGGCATAGGCTACTACCTTGCCTTGTTGCATCAATACACAACATATTCCCTGTTTGGATGCACCACTATATATTACGAAACCTTCTGATCCTTCAGGTACAGTCTACACTGGTGCATTAACTAACTTTTCCTTCAATTCTTTAAAGCTGTGTTCACATTTCTCCGTCCATTCAAATCTCACACCTTTACGAGTCAACTGAGTCAAAGGCCCTGATATCGTAGAGAATTCTTCTATAAATCTCCAGTAGTATCCTACTCGGCCCAAAAAATCTGCGAACCTCCCCCACGTTGGTTGGTCTCGACCAATTCGACACTGCTTTTACTTTGCCTGAATCTACTTCTATTCCTTGGGCTGTAACTACATGCCCAAGGAATGCAACTCGATTTAGCCAAAATTCACACTTTTTGAATTTGGCATAAAGTCTATCCTTTTTTAAAGTTTCCAATACAATCTTCAAATGTTCATCATGTTCTTCTTTAGTCTTTGAATAGATCAAAATATAATTGATAAATACAATGCCAAATTGGTCTAGGTATTCATGGAATACACGGTTCATCAAGTCCATGAACACTAGAGCATTAGTTAGGCCAAATGACATAACTAAGAACTCGTAGTGACCATACCGAATTCTAAAGGCTGTATTTGAGATATCAGTAGATTTAGTTCTCAACTAGTGGTATCCTGACCTCAGGTCGACTTTTGAAAATACTCTTGCACCACGTAATTGGTCAAATAAGTCCTCAATCCTGGGAAGTGGATACTTATTCTTAATGGTGATTTTATTCAACTCTCTGTAGTCAATGCACATTCGCATTGACCCGTCTTTCTTCTTGACAAATAACACTGGTGCCCCCTATGGGGATACATTGGGTTAGATGAATCCCCTTTCCAACAATTCTTCTATTTGTAATTTCAACTCCTATAACTCCTTTGGAGCCATCCTGTAAGGAGCTTTGGAAATAGGTTTCCCCATGGGGATACACTGGGTTGGATGAATCCCCTTTCCAACAATTCTTCACTTTGTGATTTCAACTCTTGTAGCTCCTTTGGAGCCATCCTGTAAGGAGCCTTGGAAATAGGTGCGGAGCTGGGAGTTAAATCAATAGTGAACTCTACTTCCCGTTAAGGAGGCATCCCAGGTAAAATCTCGGGAAAAACTTCTAGGAACTCCCGTACTATCTTGACATCTCCCACTATCAGTTCTTTATCTCCCTTTTCCAACACTGACATGAAGAACCCTATACACCCCTCTGACCTCAAGAGTCTTCGGGGTTTCAATGCAAAACTAACTCGTGGTATGGGCTTAGTCTTGGTTATTGAAAGACGAAGTTTTACCCTTTCAGGACATTTAAAGATCATTTCCCTCTCAAAGCATAAAATTGTTGCATGATTTTTAGAAAGCCAATCCATCACCAGGAACATGTCAAATTCATGTATATACAAAACATACAAGTTCGTCTCCAAGTTTCTACCATTAATTTCTACCTCAGCTGTTCTTACAATGTGGTTTGTACTAAGCACATCTCCTGAGGGAATGGCAACCTCTAAAGGTGTGTGTACGTTCTCCAATAACATTTAGCGTA